TCAGCCCCTCTCTCCCAGGACATCTGATGAGAATGGACCCCCTGTGCCCTCAGCTCGTTCCCAGGTGCACAAACCCGGTGCTGGGACAATTCCCAAATGGAATATCACACTTCAGCGCTGCTGCCGACTGCTGGAGTGGCCCAGGAATGTTCGTGGCTGCACCACGGCCAAATCTATTTGTGTTTCCATTCCTAAAGCTCAGCAGACAGTGCCCACAGATGGAGACAGGATGTCTGACTGATGTGCCTTCCTCACATTCTCAAAATTATACTAATTATGTGAGCAGAAGTGAAAAAAATTAGTTTCTATCCCTATTTAACCCCATCAGAGTTTGTTAAGAATTTTTTCACATTCCCTTAAACACACATCTTGCTGGGATCGTCCAGACATGCCTCTCACAATCAATTCTCTGCTTTAACTGGGGATTGAATTATTAATGATTTCATTTTCTCAGAACTGCAGTTCTTCAGTAGAAAAATCTGCATGCTCAAAAGCCCAGAGCTGTCAGTGAAAATGCAGTGATCTGATGCTCAGTTGTGATTTAAATGGCAAAGTCACTGGAAGTTCACATGGCTGATTATTGACTAGGGGAGTATAATTATCTCCAGTTCTAATTAAAAAGCAAACCCCAGCACAGGGCACTGAGGGCCCTGGTGAGCCCCGTTCCTGCTCAGACACACTGAGCTGTACAGCCCTCCCAGCCCTGACTCGGCCTGGGCTTCTCTTTTCCAAGGACATGCAATGTTCTGTTTCATAACAATGGAGTCCAAGAGATTTTCCCCATAATAACGCTAAAAATACTTGCCCAGGCCCCATGAGAAATTAACCCTTGCCTGTTTCTACCAAGCTTGAAGCTCCTTAGCTGGTGGGTAGCTGTTTTAAAAGTTTGCTGTTCAGCAAGCAGGCAGGATCTGACCTACCACGAGATTCCAAAAACCACTCCCTAAATTGCAAATAATCTGAGAACAGGGAAATAGGTTTGGTGATGCTTCCTAACGGATAAAAAGTGTGCACAGCATTAACATGGCTGATATTAAAAATAACTCATTTTATACGTATTTTAGTAATTAGAAATCTAAACTGAACTTCTGAGTTCTTTTGATCAACTTCATTGTAGGTTCTTCTCACCTGTAAGACACAGAAAAGAGCATTTTAAAGGGTGGCAGTGCCACATAGGGCAGGGGACACTGCTGTCACGGCAGGGCTCTGCGTGTGGCACTGCTGTCACTGTGTGACACCGTCACTTACCACAGGGCTCTGTGTGGCACTGCCATCCCTCCAAGGTCAGGAGAAGACAATGTACACCATGAGGGCACAGCCCAGGATCCAGCCCAGCGCCAGCAGCACGGGCACAAGCAGGCGGGACAGCGGGGCCTGGGCTGGACAGGACACAGGAACAGAGCACAGGACAAGGACACAGGACACAGGGTCAGTGACACTGGCAGGGACTCTCTGAGCAGATCCCACCATTGTCAGCACTAGGTGGGCACGTCCAGGGTGCTGAGCCCTGGCTCAGCTGCTCAGCAGCCCTAGGCCCGGCTCAGAGGGGCCCAGGACAGAGCCAGGCTCTCTGTGGAGCACACAGGAGGCAGAACTGTGTGACATTGCCATCACTGCACTGCCTTCACATTCTCCACACAGCAGCAGAACTCTATGGACCCTTCTATGGGTTCCTGCAAACCAGATGTAAAGCCAGGACTGCCTTCACATCTCCACACAACAGCAGGACTCTATGGACCCTTCTATGGGTTTCCTGCAAGCAGCACACCCTTGCCAGAAAGCAGAATAACAACCTCTGAGATCTGTGACTTACCAGTACGTTACACCTCTTACAGCACATCTTTACACAGTTAATGGAATGACGGGTTTCTGAAGGGATTAACAAACTGTGTGAAACTATCCACAACACCTTGCCCAGTTCAGATGGAGCAGGCAGACTCAGAGGGATTTAAGGAGTGACACATGGTTCTTCTGAAGCTCTGCACAGCACACCTGTCTCACCAAAACACTGCACAGTGTCTGCCAGAGGGACAGATCTGCCTCTGCTGCCATGAAAATATTGAATACATAAACAATTAAATATCCTGCCCCAAACCGGGTGTCCTTTTGCCCCAGGGGAGCAAACTCAGATATCTATCAAACTATCTCCCTAGATACCAGAGTCAGTGGTGCAAAAAAAAAAACCAGGAGAAAAGTCTTTAAAAACTTTGAACGTAGCTATGAAGGTGTATTAAAAAGTTCCCTTCACAAGTGTTACCTGAGTAACTGTGCACACAGCACAGCTACAGTTGTAAATTTAAGTTAAATAAATAAAAATTTACAACAGATATAAAATTCATTTTGATAAACTTCCTTTTCTCCTTGGAGAAGTGAAGTGTGCTTACAATGGAAAGGTCATTATTGAAATTTCATCTTGCTCTGCCACTTGAGCTCTGTGGGGTTAAAATCTAAATTACTCTGCGTTCACTTGGCACTACACTTGGAGATCAGCTCCACACAGCATAACAGAAATGCTGTCAAACAACTTATTTTACACACTGTCCTATTGTGTCAGCTAACCTGGAATGACAACTACAAAACATAAAGAAAACAAAACTGGTAGGATTCAAAAATACAGGAGGAACCCAAGCTGTTAATAGAATTAGCTTTTAAAGAGGTTGCACTTTCTAACTGAAAAGTAAATTATATCTAGTGTATCAGACAAGAGCACAGGTAGCTGAGTGTATTCACACTGCATTGCTCAGACGTGTTAATTTCAATATATTATGACATCCCCATGTAATTGTGCCTCTTACCTGGTTCTGCCATTCCCCTCTGCTGGTTTAATGGCAGTTAAGGTTTGCCTCTGCAGCTGCTCTGAGAGCCCTGGGATGCTTTAAATAGAGCAATATTTGGAATGTGCTGCAGCTGCCTGGCCCGCTGGTGCCAGGGGTTGGCTATAAGCATTCAATTGTCTAAAAAGGCAGGAACAAGGGCTTCAAGGTTACCTCTGCCTGTCCCTGCACCTCTGTGTCAGAGCAGTCTGACCACAGAGGGGTCTGTTTCCTGAGGAGGGAGGGGAGCAAGGCTGAAAATGCTTTGTGGTCTCTTTATAGGCATGAAGGCGCCATGGTAAACGCAGCCAACACTCAGGAGCACCCTGTACCTCCAGCATGGCAGGGACCTGCTGTGCTCTGAGTGCCCCACGCTTCTGTCAGCCCTCTCCTATGGAAAACCCAGCCAAGCCCTGCTCAGGGTTCCTGCACAGTTATCCATCCCGGTGGCTATCAGCTCTCTGCCATGCACTGTTCAGCCCATCACAACATTCTGAGACACGACAGTAAACCAACAGCTTCACTTTCTTTGTCTGCCTTTGCCATAAAGAAAATCTTTTTGGGATAAGATCCAATTTGTTGTGAAAAGAAATATGACTCTGTGTCAAATATTTATTGGGAAAAAAAATCTCTGATACAATAACTTTGTTGGCCGCACAGCTGTTCCTGTAAGAATCCTATCTGGCTTGGTTCTGGTAATTATATCTATCCTGATCTCATGGAAATAATTTCCAGCAGGAATCATGTATTCCTGACAAGAGCATCTGACCTTCAGGGCTTGGGATCCTTCCAGGCCCAGCTGCCACAAGCAAGGGCAGCGAGTCATTGCGGCTCACCCCAGTTTGGGCGCTGCTCACCCCAGTTTGGGCACTGCTCACCCCAGTTTGGGCACTGCTCACACCAGTTTGGGTGCCCCAGTTTGGGCACTGCTCACACCAGTTTGGGTGCTCTCCCCAGTGAGTGCTGCCCTGCACGTCCACAGCTGGACTCAAAGGAGATCAAAGTTGCAACTGCAGCAGATGGACTAACAGTATAGACATTATTTTAAACAACACATCTTCTGTTGGGAACTGAGGAATGAACTGCAGACATCAATTCCACAATAGAATTCAGTCCAATTCTCCACAATAGAGCTCAGTCCAACAGCCCAAATAAAAAAAGCAGAGGGACAGTTTCAAAGTACAATAACAAGGAGGGGACACAGAGCTTAAGAAAACACTCAGAATGATCTGTGGCAACATGCAGCTGCTGCTTTGCTGCTGAACAATCCACAAGAACCACAATTCCCTCATTTCTATCTGTGTGCCCAATTACGTGATCATGGTTTATGCTTTCCCCCTCTGTGCTGGACTCAGACACTCAATCTCAGAGTCACAGGTGGATGGCAGCTGGGCTCAGAAATGAGATTCCCTTTCAGCCTCCAGCTCACTGAGATGCTCAAACACATTGGTCTCAGAACCTTTGGGACTTCACTGCCATTAATGCTCCAGGTGGGAATCACTTCCATGCTTTAAATGTCTGCAGTGCTCCAAGGGAGTCAGGGCCAGAATCAGAAGGAGGAACAGGCAAGGCATCAGGGCTGCAAGGCTTTCTGTGAGAGAAGGGGTTTCAACAGGAAAAATCCTTTTAGTGCCTGGTGTTTGGGCAGGAGCTGTCAGAACCTCACTGACCTCCCCCACTGTGCAAAGCAAATTGGCCATTTTTAGTGTTAAAATACCCAATATGTTCAGAGCACTTCCCAATCTTCATCACTGCAGCAGTAGCCAGAGATCAAATACTGGAATGTCACATTTCTATCTTTGTTGCTCTCTGGGAATCTGAACCCATATGCAGGAGGCTGGCAAAGAAATGTTTTGTTTTACAAATTCTATATGATCCCTATAAATAACTGCAGCCTACACAGCCTTAGAGGAGATTAGAAGGACAGACCAACTCATCTCCACAAAGGGAATGCTCCAAGTAATAAAATCTTTATAGCTTTGTAATACTGGTATTAATTTTTAAATCATGTTTCTTTTAATTGATGTTTTCTCCTTTAAGAGAAAACCCTGATTTATGAGTGAATCAAAAGGCCTTGAATTATTTTATGACTTTCCCATAGTCTCTTGTGACCTGCAGACTGACATATGAGAATATCAGATTATTGCATTCACAAAATAGGGTTATGTGTGGAAAATCTGTCTAATAAATGCATTTTATTAGTCACACCAATCTTAACATTTGAAAGCTCCCTTAAAAATTGCTAGGCATTACTTCTACTCACATCCACATCATGACAATAAAGGCTGATTTATTTGATAACTATGCAGCCAAAGACCTGAAAAAATCCATGTATTAAGCTACTAAATAATTAATTCCACACGCTGCTTCCTAAGGCTCTGGGTCTGCACATCATTTCTGCAGGCAGAGAGCAGCATCACCCAGCTGAGTGCTGAGACACATACTATGGTTTGTACCTTACTGCAACCTGTTGCTGTGGCTGTTGCTGTTGACTTGGCATTTCCTTCAGAGCTGAGAGGCGTTTAATGTGTCACTTGGATTTGCGCTGAATCCTCACTCCTGGGCCAAGTCAGACCTCCAGGCCCACCACGCTGCGTTTTCCATCTGATTTCTCTGCTGTGACAGAACAATGAAGTTAATAATTGCTCCATTCTGTTCCTCTTTATTGGATCTTACTGTGTCCTCTGAAACAACATTGGCTTGTGCCAGCAAGGAACACAATGGCAAAACACAAACAGCCAAACTTCACAAACTGGCTGAAGAAAAAAGGGTGTGTCCGTTATCATCAACTGTGAAAGACTTTCTAAAATGTCATGTTTGTCTAAGATTTATTTCTTGATTTGACCATTCCAGTTGACCATAAACACTGGATAAAATGGAGCAAGCTAATTTCAATGTCCTCTTTAGAGCAAAATGAAGAATTGCTTCAGAATCTTTTATTCTACATTTTCATAGAATCAGGGAATGGTCAATGTTGGAAAAGACCTTTAAGATCACCAAGCCAAACCACTGGAGATGATCCTTCCTTTAGCAGTCCATCTATCTGAAGGAGAACATGAGAGGGATCCTTGTCCTTGCTTTCCTACAGCTTATATATTCCTTTTTAAATGAACCCTCTGTTCTGGGAAAAATGCACTTTTAAATTTACTATGGCAAACCAGTTAATTCAAAAAAGTTTTGCAAAAAAAAAGCTGTGAAGATATTACCAAGTTTTACCTGACCAGAAAGCAATAAAAATGGACAATTTCATGCACAAATTAAAAGACAATCTTACTTGTAAGAAGAGAGCAGTTTTAGGAGGAAGATGACTACAACCACCGAGTCCTTGCAGAAAAGGTGTGTGAGGAGCAGCAGCTCCAGACTGGTGCTGCAGTTCCCTCTTGCGACAGCCAGAGCAAATTCCTGTTTGCAGGGAAGCAGGAGCTCAGTCAGCAGAGCCACACACATGGGCGAGGGCTGGGGATTCCAAACAAACCAAACCTGCCGGTTTTCAAACATCCCTCGGGGAAGGTGTGTTCACTCTTTTGGGCTTTGGAAAAGGAGATTCCCCACCCGGGGTGCCTTTGCCGCTGTTCACACGAATCCCACAGCAGCTGGAGGGAATGAAGCACCTGCACCCCTTTGCTCAGCCCGAAGTCCCTCTGGCACTGGCCAGGATGCTCCAAGGTGACCCACAGGGGCACTGCCTGCTGTTCACATCCCTGAGTAACCAGGAGCAGTATGTACAGGCAGAAACAGAGACTGGGGTCCCTCTGGCACTGGCCAGGATGCTCCAAGGTGACAGGTGAGGGCACTGCATGCTGTTCACATCCCTGAGTAACCAGGAGCAGTATGTACCGGCAGAAACAGAGACTGGCTGCTGGCCTGGCATGAGCTCTCCCTGCCCTGCTCATGCCTCCAGGTTCTTCACCGAACTCACCCCAAACCAGCCCAGAACTGACCGGGATGAGCGCTCTGGCACCCGGAGCCGCGGGCTCTGTCACTGCCCGGTGCCAGCAGGAGCTGAGCCCTGGAAATGTCCCCTGGAAGCTGCGCTGCTCCGGGCAGGGCTGGTGCCAGCAGAGGGCAATCCCTGCCCGCAGAGCCAGGCAGTCATTGTCCCAGTATCTGGGGAAAGCCTTCTGAATGGTTAAAAATGGAAAACAATGAAGCATTTCTAGAGTTAATAACATTACAGAATAAATATAATATTGCCTTTGATTTCTGGATGCAAACTCCTCCTCTTGGGATACAGAACCTACAGAAAGCAAACAGTGA